CCCCAAAACCCCAAAACCCCAAAACCCCAAAACCCCTAGTTTAATTAGGTTTGTTGAAAATGGTTTGAACTGCTTAAGAGTGTCCTGTAATTACAATCCTTCCATCAGTCTTGGGTTTGAACATAATAAATCTGACCATTTTCCCATCCTTTTCTATCTCTGGGCTAAGTTCTTTCTCTTCGTTACCAACTATTTTGAGTAAATTAACTAGCTCTTCAGTATCTGGCTGATCTTCAAGAAGCTTAAGATTCTTTATGATCTCAGTCATTGGAGAGATACCTTCATCAGCTGATACAAGAGTTTGTCATTCTTTGAAGACAACATAGCCATCTTTTCCTCCAGCTATGAAGCCTTTGGCAGCAACTCTGTACTCTCTATCGTAATCTAATGGTTCATTGTTGATCAAGATATCCTCTTTATTTATTCTCTCAAAACTTGGCTTTGAAGGATCAAATTCAAATCTGATACCTGAAACTGATGGGAACTTGCCTTCATACATTGGCCAAGCGCTTACAGCGCTTTCCAATATCTTATGGAGCTTGTCTCCAGGGACTTTCATTATTGCCATTTGGTCAACCATTGGGAGGAGATCCATTAGATCTCCCATAGTGTAGAACCCGACAGGCATGTGTCTATCAGTCCTAAAGGTTCCGGTGTTGATAATTGCTCAGTCTGTTCCTCAAGCATGGTTCATCATATCAGAAATCATGCTGCAGATGTTAGTCTCTTCATGTCTGACTTCAGTAAATTTACAGCTAAGTTCAACTCCATTGTAGCCAATGACGACTTTGAGTTTTTCGTTTATTTCTTTTGTGAAGTGCTCGACTTTTTCGTGTAACTCTGGGTCTCTTGGAAATTCTGAGGTGATCTCTATTCGCTCAAATTCGGTTATCATCGTGTTGTATTCTCTGGGACCACCAGAAATATCCTTAACAACAGAGCCTTTTTGGAGGTCTTTTGGGTCTTCTTCAGTAATGACATTCTCTAAATCAGTGAAGTCCACCTTTTCTTTGGAGTGAAGAGAGAGATTAATTACTGTAAATTCCTCAAAATCAGTTCCGCTTTTTTTTAGAAGCGTGTCATTAATCTCATGGTTTACAGTGTGGTGATCGTGGCCTCCGAGGATGAGATCAAGTCCAGGGACTGCTCGAGCTAGTTTGATATCTCTTTTAGTCCTCATATGAGTTAGAGCGATAAGGAAGTCAATATCTTCTCTGTCTTCTTTGAATTTTTTTACGTATTTTTGGCAGCATTCAATTGGATCTTCAAATTGAACATCATGAATCTCAAAATGTGGTAAGGATTCAAACCACTCTATTTCAGCAATTCCGATAACTGCTATTTTGTAGCCTTCGTGCTCAATAATTATTTCTTCTTTTGTATTTGCAAGGGTTTCTCTAGTTTTAACTCATTTTACATTGGTGAGAAGCCATGGAAAGTCGCAGTTGGTGATAAGTTCAGTAAGCTTCTCCGTACCGTAATCGAAGTCATGGTTTCCAACTCATGCAACATGGATTCCTGCCTTCTTCAAAAATGGCATCATGTGGTCTCCTTCAAAGAAAATACTCAGTTTTGATGGAGCAAAGATGTCACCCGAAAACAAAATCAAAGGGTTTACATGATCATAGCTTCTGAGAGCAGAGACAAACCTGGCAATTCCTGAGACAGGCTCACTCTTGCTTTCCTCAATGTTGTATACATCGTTGAAGTGAATGATTTTGAGAGGCTTACGCTCTGAAAACTTATCTGTCTGAAAATTTACTTCTTTTTGAATAATAGTAGATTCTGGATCATTCTTGAATTTAGTTAAATCAAAGAGGGTATCACAATCCTTCAATTTTTGAACCATTTGGGGTACTTTGAGATCATCAATAACTGAGGTCAATTGATCACTAAGTTTGGCTACTCTCTTCTCATTCTTTAACTCAACAATATCATAAAAGAAAGTTAGGATATTGTCATATTCTAATTTTCATGACGAAATATTTTTCGCAACGTTTTTATCCATACTTTTCTCTTCTTCAATTTGCTCAATTGAGTCGTTTAAGATTTTTTCCCACATTGTGAATGCTGAGTTGATCTTGAAAACAGCTGGCACTATAAAATAGAATGATAAGGACAACTTAAAATCATTTTAACTTCTAAAACTAGCGATAGAATCAATGTTTTGCTTTAATGTTTTGATTCTTAAAGAATTATGGAATGTTTAAAAAATTTCAAAGTTATGGCTTTAACTTACATGTCATATCATAAACAGATGCTTTCATAAACTCCTTCATTGCTCCTGCTGGCCTTTCTTTCTTCCCTTCTGCATCATAAAAATCTAAGGAAGGCATCAAATTTATCTTCACTTCCTGATTAGAGTCGATGTGCTTGTTACTTTCCATATTAAATTTGTGATTTCAATTAATCATTAGTTATTAGGGGTTTTGGGGTTTTGGGGTTTTGGGGTTTTGGGG